ACAATACAGCGCATGTCATCAACACATACACTACACTACACTCCACTCATTACACTAAACCATAGCATAGAATACTGTGTTAAAAGTTGGGATATTTTTTGTGATGTATACTAAAGATGTAACTTTTTGTCATAGCATAGCTTTCTCGCTTATGCTGCCATCTCACTCAGGTAAATTAAATGTATTAAATTACTGGTCGATTATCTTCACCACGATATAAAAGTCTTGAGCAATTTAACCATATAATCAGACGGTTAAATACATATAATTAATATTACAATATTAATGGCTTACTTTAACATAATAACTAACTTGTAAGATTAATTTAATATCATATTATAATATTTTATTTATTTTTGGTTATATAAATTCTGATAATAAAAGTTATTGTAATAATAGCTATTAAATTTAATAACCTTGTTGAACAGAAATTTTTAAAAAATTATTTTAACTATTTTAGATTATAATAATACACAAACTGATTGCAATTATATATATTGTACATAAGACAATTATTAATAATTTTATTGATATTATTTTTTAATAAAAATGATAATGTAGTTAAACATTAAACACTAAACATTGGTGAAAATATTAAACAATGACATTTAAAATATTACTAATAATTTGATCATTATTATTTGCTATAAAATAAATGAATTATTCATAATTTTAATTATATTTGTAAATTTATTTAAACCTCAACCAGAATGTAATATTTTAAAATTTAATATTTAATAATATTTACTAATTATTATACTTTTACAGTATCTAGAGAAACGTTTTGGTCGCTCTACACGGCTCTTAGGCTCAATCATATACACAGTAAACATGGTAATAATTATTAATACAGTATTACCACAAGACATTAACTAAATACATCTTAATTCATTATACAATTATTAGCTCATTCTCATGTCTATCGTACTGTACGGACCGGCATTAGCCATATCTCATTGTAAGCTCATTTATATTTCATATTGAACAGTTAAAACAAAAATAATTTGTACATGCTCAATTACTTATTAACTATATTAGTAACTGGTCTGGGCATATGGTGGGCGATAATCACCACGGGCATTGTGTGTACATTTTACAGTACAGTAGGTGGCATAAAGGCTGTTGTGGGCACAGATGTGTTTCAAACGTCGGTAATGTTTGCAATGATGATAGCAGTGGTGGCCAAAGGGGTATACGATTTGGGCGGACCGCAGGCCGTGTGGGACATAAACACCCGCTACGATCGTACCGAGATGTTTAAGTAATTAAATGTAACACATCATGGTAAACTTATTAATATGATGTTCAAATTGCATATTTATTAGTTTTAATCCGGATCCGTTTGTGCGGCACACGTTCTGGTCAGTTCTGATTGGCCAACTGTTCTACTGGGGCAACATCTACTCCACCAATCAGGCTCTGGTACAGCGCTGTATAGCGCTGCCCACCCTTAGAAAAGCCCAGATGTAATTATTAATCACCTTGTCCATCTGACTTATGCTGTTTGCAAACAAACTTTTTTGATTTTTAAAGTTTTTTTTAATCATGTTAACAAATGTTTTATATTTCATCAAGAGCTTTGTTAATCGTATGGCCGCTGAAGACCATGATCGTATTTTTGTGTTTGGCCGGTGGGGCCATAGTGTTTGCCCGGTATAACCAGTGCGACCCGATGTCTGTTAAACGAATCCAACGGCCGGACCAACTGTTGCCGCTGTATGTGATAGAGATGTTCGCCGATATACCGGGTTTTGTTGGTTTATTCATCGCCGGTGTGTTTAGCGGATCGCTCAGGTATGCAACAAAAAATAATCTTATAGTTTATTAATTATTACTTTATATAATTTGTAGTTAACCAACATAACTTAAAAATTTTACGATATATAATAGATAAACTAGTACAAATTTTTAGTATTACAGGTTGTTAGTATTACAATAATAAACTAATAAGCAATAACTTTAATTCGATTTTAATTAATCAAAAATAATTTCTATGACTTTTACAGCTCCAAAAATATATAATTATTTTACTAGAATAGTAAAATATACTAATTATAATATATTTACAGTTTTATTGTAACTTTTATGAATAATATTCTCACTCTCTCTTTTTGGAAATTAATTATGTTTATTTCCATTGATGAAATACCGCTTTTTTAATATACCTAGCACAATCTCATCGGGTGTGAACTCACTTGCGGCGGTCACTCTACAAGACTATATACGGCCACTACTGCCGGACGGCAAACTGTCCGACTCGGTCGCCACACTATACGTGAAATTGGTGTCCGTATTCTACGGTCTACTCTCGATATTACTAGTATTAGTAGCCCAGCGAATGGGTAACATAATACAGGCTACCATAGCTTTGTTCGGGCTGTTAGGGTCGCCAGTGTTTGGCCTGTTCACCCTGGGCATGTTTGTGCCCGCGGCCAACTCTAAGGGTGCATTTTGGGGCACTTTAATTGGTATTGGTTGTTCGTTGTGGGTAGGAATGGGCGCCATGATATACCGGCCGTATATACCGCAAAAGCCCGTATCGGTGGCCAGTTGTGTGGCTTTGTATGAAAACGTTACGCATAGTACGTATAGCCCGGAGCTGTTTGGACAGCCATCCGATGAGGATTTACATAAAAAGTATTTATTATTATAAATATTATTTATTTTACATATAAGTTTTTTTTGTAAATCCTTTTTGTAAAAGTAATCACAATTAATTTAATTATAATTTTAACCATATAATTTATTAAAATTTAAATTAAAAATAGTATTAGATTGTAGAATGGTTTGTAAGAATAGGATGACCAAGTTTGACCAATTTTACTTAATATATCATAATATAAAATAGATAGATTATGTCTTATTTTTATTATTACAGTTTTTACTAAAAAGTATTGCCCATTTTTAAATCTCTTTGGTGTTCATATATTTTTATGATATTTGCTTATACCTGATTTTTATTATTACATTTTATTATATAATAAAATAAAAAATATTTCCCATTTTTAGTTTATCACCAACGAGTGCAACACATCTTAAAGATATTTGCTTATAATTGAAATAGAACTTCATAGAAATGTATTCAACATTAATTAAATGGGAAATACTTATTAAACATTTATTGATTGAACTTTTTATTTCACGCAATTTTAAGTTCATTTTCTTATTACAGTTTTAATTCAACATAACTTATTTAAACATAATTTTAATCTCTCTCTCTCTCTCTCTCTCTCTCTCTCTCTCTCTCTCATTGTGTNCTCTCTCTCTCTCTCTCTCTCTCTCTCTCTCTCTCAGAATAATTAATTAATTCTATAAAACAAATACCATTTTATGTTATACACAGTTCAGACATACCATTGATATACCAGATATCGTACCAATACTACGGTGTAATCGGAACAGTTGTCACAATAATAGCCGGTTATCTCATATCCCTCATCACCGGTACTAATATAACTAATACCAAAAACTTTCATTCATACCCGTATAACTCGCCTATAGGTCGGACATCAATCGCTGATTTGGACGCAACACTATTCACGCCATTAGTCCGGCGCCGGATAGAGAGGTTACAGAGGGTTCGTATCGAGGATTATATACTAAAGGTAAATTTTAAAAAATTAATTATATTAATATTATTTATACTAGTTATATTTATATTAAATTATACTAATTTATATTAATTAGTTAATTAAATACTTATTTTTATGTTACATAATTCATCACATGGTTATCAAAGGCCGGCTCAAAAAAGGCTAAGAAAGTGATAGCCCGAGCGCTGGCGCCCAATGGCGACGGCCAGTCACCGACTGCTAAACATCAGGCGGATTTAGTGATGAAAAACTTTAAGCTCAATTCAAATAACGCTAATTTGAACCCAACCATGGTAGATTTGCGAGTAAATAACGTTGCAACTGACATAAGCAATGTTGATGTAGACATAAATAACGTTGATGCCACAAATAATGTCAATAATAATGACACCCTTTGCCATAAATGTGCGAATAATGCCATTAATTCTAATAATAATCAAAATTTTTATATGAATGAAGCCTTTGATTCGTTGGAATATACGACCAAATTTTAATATATACATTTTAATGTATAAAAAATTTTAATATATATTAAATTATGTTTCTCAAATTTTATACAGTAGTAATTTATAATCCTATGTAAAGGATGAGTCGTTTTGGTATAACTTTGAATTAAAACATATTTTATTTTTCACATTTATAAAAAAAGTTACAATTTTTGGGTACTTTCACACAATTAGTGTGAGACACACGAGGAGTGTGTTTGAGAAGGACTACATGGCTGTAGATTAACGACTAAATAATGTAGAGTTAGGTTAGGCTTTATATAGGGACAGAATGGGGTGACAATAGGGTCAATTTGGGTCACATTTGGCTATTTTTGTGGGGCATTATATTCTGGAGAGTGTGTACAATATGTGTGTGTATTATCGGCAGTGTTTGTATGGGAATAGGGGTAACAATAATGGATTTTATGGTAAGAATTAAGGTTAACATTAAAGTGAAAATGCTTTCACAAATAAATGCAAAAATAAGTATAAATAAAATTATTGGGAATTTTAAGTTATACTTTATACCTATTATTTAAATTAAATGGATTGTGCCATTGTAATCAATAAAACAATGTGAAAATTAATTAAAAATTTTTATAGTTTAATTACTAAATAAATAAATTAACCAAAAATATATTCAATAATGTTTATTATTATTTATTTATTATTTTGTATAAATTTATTTTTTATAAATTCATTTCTAAATTAAGTAAATAAAATATAAGGTTACTATTGGATATTATTTTATATATTCAGAGTAAATTCAGAGTAATTTATATATTCAGAGTAAATTCAGAGTAATTTATATATTCAGAGTAAATTCAGAGTAATCTATAGAATTCGTTTGGACATCGACCGAAATTTTAGGTTCCAAAAAATGACTATGCCTATCATGTAGAGCATAAAAAAGTAGAATAGGAATGTAATAGTAAGAAAAAAATCCAATCATGTAACTTTCGAGATAATGGCCAAAACAAAAAACCCTCCCTCATATACTCTCCCATAGAAAAAATAATAAATTAAAAAAAAGCGCTCAAATTTGGTGAAATCGATATAAAACCCTCTCCCATATACTCCCCCATAGAAAACAAGTTAAAATTCATTAAAATACTATTGTACAAGATTACTCTCATGTCGATTGTACACTTGTTTTATATTATAGTAAACATTCTAATAATAGATAGTTTATTAAGTTCTTTAATTAAATATTAAATAAACTATAATTATAAAATAGATTTGGCATACTGTAGACTGATAACTGGGGTTTCCAAATTATTTATGCTAATTTAAAATAATTTTCTTTCTTATGTACTTTACAGCTCAAAAATTATATAATTATTCATCTAGTTTAATCAATCATACCAATTAAGATACATTTACAGTTTTATTGTATTGAATTAATAATAAATTGATGTACAACTAAATGTTTAAACAAATAAAATTGTAGACCGTGTGGGACATAAGCACCCGGTACGCTCGTACCATAATGTTTAAGTAATCATGTAAATTTAAAACATCTTACTTAAACAACTAATGTTGAATTAATATCATATAACTATTAATTAGTTAACTAATTTAACTTTGACAATATACAATGTATATAGACTATATTATAATGTTATTATTACAGTTTTTTAATGATAATATAAAAGGCTATAAATTATGCTATGGCACTGTCTACCACTATGCCCGCAACCTCGTGTCATCTTTAATTATTAATACGTAACAAATAAATCCCCATAGGGTTAACATATGATTTGTGTTAAACAATAAATTATGATATGGCACTGTCTACCACTCTGGCCGCAACCGCGTGTCACCTCTAATTATTAATGCGCAACAAACAAATACCCATAGGGTTAACATGTGATTTGTGTTATGAAATAAATAATGCTATGGCACTGTCTACCACTATGGGGGTTACCTCGTGTCATCTATAATTATTACTTCGCAACAAATAATTACCCATATCGTTAACATGTGATTTGTGTTAATTATTAAATTATGCTATGGCACTGTCTACTACTATGGCCGCAACCTCGTGTCATCTATAATTATTAATACGTAACAAATAAATCCCCATAGGGTTAACATATGATTTGTGTTAAACAATAAATTATGCTATGGCACTGTCTACCACTATGGGGGTTACCTCGTGTCACTTATACTTATTAATGCGCAACAAATAAATACCCATAGGGTTAACATGTAATTTGTGTTATGAAATAAATTATGATATGGCACTGTCTACCACTCTGGCCGCAACCGCGTGTCACCTCTAATTATTAATGCGCAACAAACAAATACCAATAGGGTTAACATGTGATTTGTGTTATGAAATAAATAATGCTATGGCACTGTCTACCACTATGGCCGCAACCGCGTGTCACTTCTAATTATTAATGCGCAACAAATAAATACCCATATGATTAACATGTGATTTTTTGTTATGAAATAAATTATGATATGACACTGTCTACTACTATGGCCGCAACCGCGTGTCACTTCTAATTATTAATGCGCAACAAATAAATACCCATAGGGTTAACATGTGATTTGTGTTAAACAATAAATTATGCTATGGCACTTTCTACCACTATGGGGGTTACCTCGTGTCATCTCTAATTATTAATGTTAATGCAACAGGCTATTGAGAGGCTAATGAATGGTTTGTTACAAATGCTGGCATTAATTGACTTACGTTTAGAGTGTTACTATTGCGACGACCCGTTGATTGCGTCGATTCCCAGACATTTGCGGCAATTATTACCAAAAGTTTAAAAGTTTAAATGGAATTACGATTATATCGACGACGAGATAGTGTTGACTGAAATGAATAAAACAATTGCCGATTGTTTTACAAAATTAAAACGTCTGGAAATTCCCGGTTTATATAACAAGTCATTGTTTAATTGCAAACAATTAACACATTTAAACCTAATATAAACCTTTACATTAACTATCAAATTGACGAAATTGTTTGAAGATTATTATAGATATTTCTCAAAACTTGCACATTTAAATCAGGGTTACGTTAACATCCCATTGTAATGGTTAGCAAAACACCCGACACTACAGTCCGTAACAAATATGAGAACATCAATGAATCGGTTGAAAGACTATAAACACAATTGCCGTAAAGAATATTCTGTAATGTAATGTAAAAATAATATGCAATACTAGTTTGAGATTTGTGTTAATCATCAAGAATGTGATGAATTTATATTTGATATTCAGTTTAAATCAAAAATATGATTAATAATTTTAGTATTTAAATTATATTATTTTTTATACACAAAATTTAATTATGGATAGAATATTATATTATATTATGTTTTTTATTTTAAAAAAATTATAATTTATGTTTTTTACAATTTATTTTAAACGTATATTTTATGCTTAAATCTATTTGAAAATAATCGTCCGATTAATGTAAGTTTTAAAGTATATAATCCTATCCATAGAAACAGATAAGAATTATATATTGATTATATTGTTTGCCATTGCATTCATTATGTTTCATATATGCATTGAAATATAACTTTATTGTTGTGTTGGCAAAAGTAATTTATTTGAATTGTTATTATTTTTATTTTGCAAAAATAATTATAATTAAATTAATAAAAATGGTCTCAAAGTATTTGTTGGACTCAATGGATAGGTTTGGCGACGATTTGTGTGAAGTATTGTT